TGGGCATCTTTCTCAGTTCTGGTGCTCTGGGCTGGGGAGTTCAGCTTGGGATTTATACCCCAGAGTTTTCAGTGGGAACCCCCCACAGCTGAGATATCCCTCCGGACCATCAGATGCTACCTGTGGGTGCCCAGTCAGCCCTCTTATGCCTCTGCATTTCCTACCAGTTTCTATGTGGTCTCCACTTTAAGTCCTTGGTTATGAGGGTTCTCTTCAGCTATTCATCAGTTGATTATTCAGGATGGTTTTTCTATATTTTAGTTGTAATTCCAGTTTGGTTCAGGGAGAGTGTCAGTGTAGCTTCCACTTAATCTACCACCATCTCGGAATCTAATCCTCAGCATAATACTTTTTATTTAAAATTTTCACAGCGGTCGACCAATAGGTGCACTGTAAAAGAAAAAAATACTCTTAGATGGGAGTCTGAAGATACTAGTCTTAATTTTGGCTTTTAGTGATAATGGAAGAAAGAGTTAAGAAGTCAAAGATGACTCCTAGGTTTATGAGATGGCTATTTTGTGTGTTGCCTTTAAGCCCTATGTGAAATTAAATCAAAACTTGAACAACTTACAACATACCCATTACTGAATAAATTCTTTAGCTCTGCCCTACTATAATTCCCAACACCACACACTCACCATAATCGCTTAAGGGTCTGCAGCGCAGAGTTCTGGGACTTGAAGTCCACAGCCTGTTTATCCACATTAGACATGGAGGTCTGTCAACATTTATCATACAGTATTGCAGTTATAGTGTTACATGTCTGACCCTCTTACTGGAATTTTAGCTTCTTAATGATAGAGATTATGTGTTAGTTATTTCTGTAACTTTAGAACCTAACAATGTCTGACATGAACTTGGCAACCAATATACTTAAAAAAAACTGTCCCCTGCTAAGTACAGACAGGAAAAGAGATACTTAGCTAACAGAGAGATGTTTGTGAATATAATTTCATGCTATTGAATATTCTACATTCTCTTGGCTGCTAATTTTTTTATTATATGGATAAACCATAGTTTATTTAACTATTATCTCATTATCAGGTATTGGTTAATTGTTAGGTGCTGGTTTCCAACATTTTGTTATTTTAAATTGTGCTGCAGTGAGTATAGGTGTAGCTACATTTTAGGGTAAATATATGGTTATTAGACATAGATAAAATTTGTAGAATTTCAAATGCTGAATTAGGAGTAATGTCATTTTAAAATTTTTTATCTTTATTGTTGAAAGTATTACAGATGTCCCTTTTTTCCCCCATTGACCCCTTCTGGCACCCACCCCCACTCCCAGACTTCACCACACTATTTTCTGTGGCTTTTGATTTATAGTTCCTTCAAGTAAGTTATACAAATTTATATTTTCACCACAAATTCATTAGGATATTTTTTTTTCTGCACTCTTTCCACTACTACTACTTCTATAATCATTACTACCACCACCACCATCTTTATCATTCCTTGCTAAGGTTTATAGGTGAAAATAATTATTCCCTGTTTAATTGCATTCCTCTGGTTACGAATGGAGTTGGGTTTTAAAAAATGTTTTAAACAATTCTATTTTATTTTCTAAGTTGCCTATTTGTGTCTTTTAGCCATTTTTGTCAATATGTTTTTTCTATTACTGATCCAATTGTTTTTCTAGAAGAAGAGTAAGAGGTGTACTATAGAAGGGTTTATGAAAGTACATTTTTTCTTTGACAGTGAATTTAATATCATCTAATATTTATATGTATAACTAAAAATAATTACACTGGAAAGCTATGTTTTTCGTTAATGACCAAAGTTATTTTTATAACTTTGTGAAAGTCTTTTAATCTTTACCTGAAGTATGTGCAAGGCTAAGGTGAAGAAAACAACTTTTTCCTAAACAAAATGGGGCTGGCTGAAAGCAGTTTCTGGAGTGTGGTTGTTTTAGGAAAGGGAGTAATTTTTAAGAACTATAGGGTGTGGAAAAAGTAGGTTTATAGTTGTTTGGAAAATCATACAATAATTAATAATACAAGAATAAGCTCTGTTTCTAGTACTCACAACTGTAAACTTACATTTGCCCCACCCTGTACACAAATATAACATCTGAACCAATAGCAGTTTAACTCAAGCTATAGAGGTGTGCACACATCACACAATCCAGTTTTAGGACATTTCCATCACCCCAGAAAGTTCTCTCTTGCTTGTTTGTGGTTAATTTCTACTCCTAACTCCAGACAAACATTAATCTACTTTCTGTCATAATAGATTTGCCTTTTCTGGAGAGATTATATGAATGGAATTATGTGATATGTGGCCTTTTGTGCCTCGCTTAATGTTTTCAAGGTCCATCTATGTTGTAACATGTTTCAGGACTTCATACTTTCTTATTGTTGTGTAGCATTCCAGTGTATGGACTGGACTACATTTTGTTTATCTGTTCATCAGTTGATTGACATGTGTCTTATTTTTCACATATAGTTTTAGCTCTTACTTTTAGATCAGTAATCCCTCCTGAGTTGATTTTTGTGCATCATTAGAGGTAGGCATTCAACTTCATTTGCATGCAGATATCCAGTTTTCCCCACACCATTTGTTGAATAAGACTGCTTTCTCCCATTAAATTGCCTTGGCATCTTTGTCAAAAATTAACTGACAATAAATATAAGGTTTTTATTTATGGATTTTTCTTTCTGTACCATTGATCTCTCTGTCTATCCTATGTCAATACCACACTGTCTCAATTACTGTAGCTTTCATAGTAAGTTTTAAAATTGAGTAGGGCAATTCCTGCAATTTATTCTTCTTTTTCAAGATTGTTTTGGCTATTCTGGGTCCTTTGCCTTTCCATATAAAATTTAAAGCATGTCTCTTTCTACAAAAAATAGCCTGCTGGAATTTTCAAAGGGATTACATTGAATTTGTAGATCAATTTGTGGAGAACTGCTATCTCTACACTTTTGAGTCTTTCAATCCATGAACATGGAATATCTATTTAGCTCTTCTTTAATTTCTTTTAGCAATATTTTGTACTTTTCAGGGTATAGTTGGTACATTTATTCCTAAGTGTTTTATTTATTTTTGATACCATTGTAAATGGAATTATTTTCTTAATTTCATTTTCATATTGTTCAGTAAAATTATTTTTTAATATTGTCAAAATGTGTATGGTGTATTCTCCCCCAAATTTACTAGCATTCAACTTATAGTATGATATATAACATATAGTTTAGTAGGTCTCAGGAACCAATCACTGAAACATATCATTGGACTAGAATCAAGGTAGTTAATTGCTTAGGTGCAGTTTTTGTCCTTAAAGAATGAAATTCCTAAAAAATTTAAAGTATGTTAATACAGAAATAGTCTTGGGAATTCAATTTGAAGACATGACAAAATGTTTATAGTAAGGCTCTCTTAATAATGCTGACTTGTATTTCATGATATTTTATTGATTCTTACTTTTTTTTATTGTTGAAAGTATTACAGATGTCCTCTTTTTCCCCCCATTGATCCCCTCCACCTGGCATCCACACCACCACCACCCTCCCCAGGTCTTCGCCACAGTATTGTCCGTGTCCATAGGTCATGTATATATGCATCTAAGTTCTTTGGTTAATCTCTCTACCCCCCACTCCCCACCTCCACTTTCCCTATGAAATTTGTCCAACTGTTCCATGGTTCTATATCTCTGTATCTATCTTGTTCATCAATTTATTTTGTTCATTAGATTCCACATGTGAGTGAGATCATGTGTAATAACTAAGATCTGGAAACAGCCCAAGTGTCCATCAGTAGATGAGTGGATAAAAAAGCTGTGGGACATTTACACCATGGAATACTATGCAAATGTTAAAAATAAGGATCTCTTACCCATTGGGACAGCATGGATGGACTTGGAGAGTATTATGCTAAGTGAAATAAGCCAGTCAGAGAAAGACAAGTACCACATGACCGCACTCATATGTGGAATCTAATGATTCTTACATTTTTTATAAAATGTTCTGCTTTTCATTTAATATGTATCAATCAGCAAATTAAGTAGATTGTGCTTATGTTGATTCTTCTGGCCTCAAGTTAATGGTTTATAGTAGTGTTCATTTACATTACTATCACATTGAAAAATGTTATTTAGGGGGCAAATTGCACCCTTCAGTTAGTTATTACTACAAAAAGGAGATATGTTTTGCTAAGCTCAATATACATTGTTTTTTTTTAGCCTTTCAGGAGACAACCATTCTTTAAATCACTTGTTCACAAGGTATGATCTTACAGTGCCTATATAAGATAGGATGGGTTATTATACTTTAGAAACTGAATAACATTTGGACTTTTCCTGTTGGCTGAATGAAGTTCAAGTATATTGTTTCAAATCTTTAGTTTTTCCCTTATAAAGTTTTTCTTAAATCCCTGGCACCAGTTATTGCTTATCAACTAGTGAGCATTAATGAACACTAAAACAAATGACCAAGTTTATTTGTGCACGTTAAAAGAAAAACTCAGATTATCATGCTTACTTCAAAAGCTTATTTTTACTATAGAAAGTTCCTGTTTTATATAGTAAAATTAATGGTATTTGTGTTGCTCTGCCCCTAAGCAAATTTAACAACCACCAAGTTAAAGAAATTATTAGAAAGGGAACAGAAATGTGAACACACTCAGTGTATTAATTTGCTTATAGGCCACCAAAGACCTACAAAAATCTATACCCGCAATTTAATGACCATCTGTTTGGCACTTTTAGGCTATAATGTGTAAAAAGCACTAACACTTCTCTTCAACAAAACGTAAATGTCAAGTAGATTGCTATTTGCTGGAAAGCTAGGGAGGGCAAATGAAGAACAGTTTTGTCTACTGTTTTCATAGTTTCCAAACAGATGAATGCTTTTTTATCTTCTGTATTTTGTAACATTTAAAGCCATAAAAATCAATATGTAAAGTTTTATAAATCATATGTTGAAGGGAAAATGTAAGTTATTATGTTCCTGGTATTTTTTGGTCCCAGGTTAATGATGCATGATGTTTTCCCCCTACAGGCATGCTGCAAAGGAAGGTAGAAGAGGTAGCACAGGTTTTCCAGAATCGTCTTCACCAGGAACAAGAACACAATGTCAGGATGGCTTTTAATTGAATTACCATATTGTCAGCATGTTATTTTTGGTTTATACCATTATCTGCAAATTTTGATGACATTAAATAGAGTAGTAGTTACAATTGGTATATAATCTTTGGTTGCAATAAAAATGTGTGTGTTTAGGGTGTGGTTTTTTTTTTTTCATTTAAATATTGTGCTGTTGAGAATTATACTGTAGTTTGGCTTTCAGTATTAGCAAATCAAAGCTAATACTTTTAAAATATAAATGTTTTTATTGATTTCAGAGAGGAAGGGAGAGGGAGATAGAGATAGAAATATCAATGATGAGAGAGAGTCATTGATCGGCTGCCTCCTGCATGCCCCTACTTGGGATCAAGCCGGCAACCTGGGCATGTGCCCTGACCGGGAATTGAACCATGACCTCCTGGTTCATAGGTCGATACTCAACCACTGAGTCATGCTGGCAGGGCAAAGCTAATACTTTTGTCTAGGAAGCAGCCTATTAGATGTTAACTCTGTTTTATAATTTGTATCTTACTCTCCTAAATTCCATATAACTGATGTCTTGTTGGGCACAAAATTGAGTGTCCCAAAGGTTTATTAATAATAGTAATAGTTATGTGTACAGGTAATATATCCAGTATCACAGTATTGTGCTGTTTATAAAAATTTTTAGTTTTCATAAATTAGATGAGTATGTGCTGCTTCTTGATTTAGGCAGGCCTTTATAAAGTTATAGTACCTAATCTGTTATTCCCACTTCTCCATTATTTTTGTGTCTTTTAAAATATATAATATATATCAAGATTTTCAAATTATCATTTAGAAGCAGGTTTCTCTTGTAGAAAAACTAATTTTCCTGCCTTTTACCAAAAATAAACTCATAGGGGAAGAAAAAACTAGATCATAGGGAAATGCCTGCCAAAAAATTAATGCCAGCTAGTCTTTGATGGGTGCCTGTTACAAAGTAGTAGATACTGTAAAGCCTCTCTCCTCAAGGTAAATTACTGTCTAGCTTGATATATAATTAATGCCTATCTGTATAAAAACAATATAGACAATACAAGGGGGTGTGTTATGAGTTACGGAAAGTGTGCTATAGAAATTCAGAGATGGGTGAAAAAGTTAGAGTGGGTTTGAGACTTGAATTAGGTTATTTTTGAAAGGTCAAAGTTCAGGCAATTTATTTTTGATGTACAGATATGCTGGTGTTTTACTTGGTTTTAACATATGATTTATAGTTATTTGTTTATTTGTTCATATGTTTTTCAAGAAAAAGTCCTGTTCTTAGCTTGAGAACAATCTGATCTCTTGTGTTTCATGTTTAACCTAAGTCACAAATAATGGTGATATTCTAAAAAATAAAAATATAACACCAAAATAAACTACTTGAAAGTTTTTTAGTGACTAGTGCTTAGTTTCCTAGAATTCATGAGCTAAATTTCTGTTGAACTGAGTGCACATGACCATCCTGAGGGGTGCATATTAAGGAAAGAAAATATTTTTCAAATGAGTATTAGTGACTTTCATCACCTTATGAGTAAATTAAATAGTAGTACTTACATGGCCTCTTTTCTTCCTACCCAAACTTCTCAAAGTAGCAACTTCTTATTTGGTAACTTTTTGTTACCACTCAAAATTATAGAAAATGAAAATAATCTAGAGACCATTTAATTTTGTGGGTGATTTCTGTAGGTAAAGAGCTTTTGAGGATAATCTTGAGTAATCTTTATTTTCGAGTCCAGTATTATTACATACTATTATACCCTAGATAAGAATGTTTCCCTATTGTTTTCAGAGATCCAACTCCAGTAAAATAGTCTGTTCATAAATTAAGTTCCACATTCAGTATTGGAGGAAATACTGGATTTTGTCTTGTTGCTTCTTAATTAGTTAGACAATTTCATTTGGACACTATATTTTGTCTATAACATGAAAAAATTGGCCCATGTTAAGTTTTTCCCAGTGGAAAGAAATGAGTTTTCATTTCTTTGAAGTTTTGTGATTCTTTTATGTCTTTTAACTACCAGTAAGTGCTGACTATAAAGTTCCTTAGTAAAATAAAGAAGAGGCTACAGTACTCCTATTGACTTTGTACTGGGAGATCTAGTGTTTTTTCCAGGACATAGAAGAGGACAGTGGATGGTAAGTGGCTTCCATTTTAATACAGTAACACTGCAAAATTTACTGGTAGATCTTAATGTACTGTTTGGAATTTGGAGCCTTGAACTAAATTATCCCTAAGGTTCCTTCTGACTCTGGTTCAACATGACATTGTTGAACAAATAGTAATTAAAAGATGAGAAATTACCTATTTTTGCCAGTAATTTTAAGGCAGCATTTATGTAAGGTGCTGAAATCTTGAGCCCCTCCTAACCATGATTAAAGGCCAGCTAAGATTAGCTGAAGGAGAATTTTTTTAATTTGTCGTTTACACTTTCTCAGTGCTTGACTACTTTTTTGTTTTTTGAAAAAGATGCTATATTTGTTCTCTATAACAGCATTTATGCTATCTCATAAAGGGAATGGGAAAGACATGCACAGTTGTTTACATATAATATTAAACAAGTGATGCTATTCTTCTTCAAGAAAAGATTTTTGGTTTTAGCATCTAGTTCCATATCTGGAAATGACAATTACTTCATAATGTATTCATCAGAAGTGTGCTGTGAACCAAATGCCCCAAAAGAACAAATCCTGAAAATATGTCTCTGTTAAGGAGGACCTTCTGGCTTAATTAAACTAAGCTTGTTTAATTGTCAGAAAGACAAATGAAGCATATTTTTCAGTTTGTCATAAATTCTTCTAGGGGCAAAATTACCTCATGCTAATATCTTTGTGTCCATGAATAACATCTAGACATCTCAAAGCTTTTTATATACTGTCTGATGTCCGTTTAAACTAAGGAGAGGGATGCCATGGGAAACAGAATAGCTATTATTCCACAGTTAATAAGTTTGGCAGAGCTAGAAATAACCTAGTTTTCCTCCTACTGCAATTTTCAGAATGTTTGTCCCTTGGTACCTACCACTCGGGCTAGCTACAGTCATATTCTGGTACATTTGGTACTTCCTTATGACCTTGCTATCCGGTTGCAATTTCAGCCTATATGAATATATCTTTTTAGCCATTTATTCTCCACTCATCCCACCTAGTGGATTTGTAATGTAGTGTGTACCACTTCAGTACCAAGAGGCTGTATGTTTTATTAGACGTTGTATACAAGTCTGGTGCAATAGTCAGTGTAGTTTTGTTTCACCCTTTGCCACCTTCCCAAGGGACAAACACATTAGCAACCTTGGTGTATGTTCCCATTTCCTTATTGATTAATGTGTTAATTGGACAGTTTGAATGAGCAGCAGAATTGAGCTCCACCACCATATAGGATTACTTTGTTTCTACAAATTTAGAAGGCATGTACAAAACTAATTCAATATCATAGGAATACTTCCCATGAGATTTTTGATCTGTTAGTAGTTCTCAGGATAGGAAGTACAATGTCTCCCAGTAGCTGCTCTTTGGTTTTATCTTCTAACATGATCATCATGGCAATACAGATAGTTTGAATACATCTGAACCTATTCAATAACCTTGGAATATTTACTCAGACAACCACCATGTCAAGTGACTTTAAAACCATACTTTTGTATAGTACTTTTTAGTCACTCTATTCTGAGGTGTTATCTCCATTTTATAGATGAGGAAACTGGCTTAGACTGGTTAAAGAAACTTGTTGAAACTTACACAGTCTTGTAACTTGCCAAAGCAAAAAGCTCAAGTGCAGATTGCCTACTATGCTATATTGTCAATAAATGTGGGAACTGAAAAATCCAAACATTGTGACCCCCAAAACCCATTTTTCTTCTTTGGCTTTTTGTGATATAAAAATGGTTCCATTTAATTTTTTTTTTTTAAAAAGATCAACTAGGTAATATAATCATGTAATTCAAAAGTCAAAGGGTACAAAAAGATATAGATGAAGAGTTTTTCCTACCCTTGTCCCTCACCATTCAGTTCCTCTACCTGAAGGCATTCACTTACTACTTGTCTGTATGTTTTCCCAGAGGTATTGTATGCATATATAAGCAAACACATACATATAGCCCCCCTTTTTTTACTCAGCTTACTGTGTACATTGTTCTGCACTTTGTTATTGCACTAAATATATTTTTAGAATTGTTCAGTTGCAGTCCATAGAGAACTTGGTCATCTTTGAGACTGTTGCACAGTTTTCCATTGAATGGATGTATCAAATTTGTGGATATTTAAGTTGTTTTCAGTATTTTGTTATTATAAGCAATGTTGCAGTAAATATACACATACTTGAGCATACATAGCATTGAGGATACCATTTATATACATTCAATTGCTGTGCTAAAGGGAATGTGCATTTATGATTTCATTTGCGTTCCCCAAAGGTTGTACCAATTTATATTCCTACTAGCAATGTATTGAGAGTGCCTATTTCCCCACGATCTTAACAAAACAAGTGTGTTCTCAACCTTGTGGATGTTTACCAATCTGGTAGGTCAAAAATGTTACTTCAGTGTGCTTTTAAAAAATAAACTTTATTTTTAGAATAGTTTTAGGTTTACAGAAAAGTTGCACAGTACAGAATTCCATATACCTCCACTCAGTTTCCCTTAATGTTAACATATTAATATAACTCTGGTATATTTGTCACAGCTCATGACTCTTATCATTAACTAAAGTGTAAGTTTATTCATATTTCCTTAGTTTTTACCTAGGGAGCCTTTTCTTTCCCAGGATCTGGATCCATCTAGGATACCACATTGCATTTAATCATTACCATGTCTCTTTTGGTTCCTTTGGCTGTGACAGTTCCTCAGACTTTCCATGTTTTTGATGAACTTGACAGTTTTGAGGATAACAGATCAAGTTTTTTATAGTCAGCGTACTTTGAAATTTCCATCTTGTGAGATTAAACATTTTTTTTTTCCATATACTTAAGAACATCTGTATTTCCATTTCTGGGAACTAAGAGCCCATGTTCTTAACCACTATGCTATACCCCTGTCTTGATTCACCTCAATTAATAAAAGGTTTCGGGGCCTGAATACACATGGATTTCTGATTCTCCGGAAGTAAGTGTCTCGTAAGCCTCTGTTACAGATAGAAGAGAACCATTAGCGCAAGTGATGTCCTCAGACTTATGTCTGATCATTCCAGCTACACTGGAGGATTGACCAAAAGCTCCACTGGAAACAGCAGGTAGGCGGGATAAGTCCTTGCAAGCAGAAGCGGGGCTAATAAGGACGCATTCGAGGGGAGTTGGGGGCGCCAGAATTTGGTGATACCGAATGAGAGGGTCCAGAAGTCAAAGGTGACTCCTACGTTTATGAGCTGGGTATTTGGGGTGTTGCCTTTAACCTCTAAGAGAAACTCAAGAGAAATAGTTGAAGAATTTATTACATACTGGTTACTCAAAACGTACTTTCTCTTTCCGTTTCTTTAGCTCTGCGTTACTACAATTCCCAGAGCCCCGCACTCCACCACAATCCCCTCAGAGTCGGCCGCGCAGAGTTCTGGGACTTGAAGTCCGCGGCCTATTTACCCAAGTTAGAGAAAAGGGCCTGTGGAAACATGAAGAGGTAAGGACCTGTCTGAGCAGGAGGGGAAGGGAGCTCTGTTTTACCTTTTAACTTAAAATGGCTTTTATTACTTTGCGCGTGGGGTATGTCACGTTCTTGGCATGCGGTTTCCTGGGAAAGGGAAGACAAAAGAGGAGGGAGCTGGGGAGACGGACTCAGCGGGCCTGCAGGGCGAAGTTCGGGAAGGGCCGCCGCCGCTGCGGGTTCCCACAGGAATGTCCTTCCAGCCCAGGCATCTAAGCCATGGCGCGGGCCTCGGGAGCCGGACGGATGCTGTGGCTTCTTCCTACTAAAAATGGACCCACCCAGGTGAAAGGGTCTTGGCCGACTGAAGCCTTGCTCCGGAAAAGCCCCAGGCCTGCGCCTCTCCCCTTACCTCCACCCTGTCCTCCGAAAGGGGACCAGGGTGGGCGCCTTTATTTGCCGGGTTTGTGTATTAAAGAAAACGCGGGCATGTACCGTTTTCAAATCTTAAAGTAAGTCACACTTTGTTTCTACAAATTTAGAAGGCAAGTACAAAACCGATTCAATATCATTGGAAAAGAAAGGCACTGGTGCGAGCAGTTCCCCCTACTGGTTCTGCAGGAAACGGCAGCTTTAACTTGGCCGGTCATTGCCCAAAGCCTGAGCTTCCCAGTTAGACAGAACACAAACCTTTTCAAAGGTTCCTCATTAAATTAGTTTTGTATTCACTTTGCAAGTAGAATAATCGCTCTGGAATAGGGCTGTGTATTTACAATTATTTATGATGCTATGCTGTCCTGCACTGTCAGTTTTTGCATCTTTTAAGAAACTGGAACTGATTTTCCCTGCCTCAAAATGACTTTAAAAAAATGATTCTTATGATATATCTCATACATGTAAAATAATGTATATATAAAGCTTAAAGACTAATAAATTACTCATACCCACTACAAGCTTTAGACCTGGAACATTACCAATACCTTAGAAGTCCCCAGTGTGCCCCCTCCCTGATAACTTCACCTCTCTACCCCCTCAAGGACCACTATCCAGAATTTCGTACTAATAATTCCCTTGCTTTTAAAAAAATACCTTTACCACTTAGGAATTTATCCCTAAACAAAACGTTGCTGATTTTATCCATTTTTTGACTTTATATAAATGGACACGTATACATTTTTCTGTGGCTTGCTTTTTTTAACTCAACATTTCCTTTTGAGATTCATGTGTACTGATGTATTTAGCTATGGTTTATTGATTTCAAAGCCACTTTAAACTTAGCAAGAACTTTCTGAATTCTAGATAATAAATAAAAATTAAGACACTTAAAAAGGATTTTTAAAACTCTGGGCCTAAGGATATTTTAACGTTTCCCAAAATCAGTATAAGTCTTTCTAGAGCATGAGAATCTTGCTTATAATTATGAGGGATATTTCCCAAGCCCCAATAATAAAGGACTGTTTTATAAGGAAGGTATTTTAATATTTATTTTTCTCATGGAGTTAGATCATTTTTTTGTTTCTGTCTTTTATAATCTGTTGTTGCCTATTAAATAGTTCTGCTATTTCTTTGTACTCGAATTAGTGTTTTCAATTACTTATGGTTAGTTAGCTTATGTTAGCATTACCTAGATTTCTACACAGTAGTGCCTAGGCTACAAATGTTATGATCCTTTTCACATTTGTTTCTTTGCTTTTTCCTTTGGAGATCTCCTCTTTTCACAGCTCCAGATCCTGACACTACAGATGACTTGATATTTCCCTGTTCATCCTGATACTTATCTGTGCAACAGTCCTCCCATATCTCACTTTCCTTTTAGCCAATATCACTTATACTGTCACCTCAGACTCAATATGTCTTTGAATATTCCTGGTACTTCATGCTGGTGTTTCAGTTGTAATAGGTAGTTGACTCAACATGGCTAAAGCAATACTGATGTTCCCTTTTCCAAACTATTTCACCTGGAGCTTCCTCCTACCCTCATTGGAACCATCATCCTCTCAGTTTCACAGCTTGAAATTTGGAGGTTATCTTTTACTTCTCTTTTACCCCTACCTTCAAAGGGCCTCTCTTGTCTAACTCTTCATTTCTGTCCACTATTACCACTTTAGTTTGGACTTTTGTCACCTTATCCTTGATAAATAGTTTTCCAGCTAGTTCTTCTGGTTTCTTTCCTACTAATCCATAAGGCATATTATAACCACATTCTTTTTTCTAAACCATCACTTGTACCATGTCATTTAACTGCCTAATAAATTACTTTCTAATACCTATACATTAAGACCTAGGCCCCTTAGTTGATGTATTTAAGGCCATTCACAATCTGAGTCTAATTACCCCTCCAAGATTAATCCCCAGTCATCCCATACTTGCTTGCCAGCTAAATTGAACTTCTCATTATCCCCCAGAGCATCTCCTTGTACTTGCTCTCCCTCTTCTTTCCTTCATCACACCCAGCCCTTTAAATGCCAGTTTAAGAAGTCTTCATTTACCCTCCTAGCTCCCAATCATTTCTTTCTTCTGTGAACTCCTAATGTGGCTTATGCTTCTTTGTATTG